CTCAATACATTCAGGGTTAAAGGTGCTGGGAGAGCCGGGCGGACTGGGAATGGCGCGGTAGATCAAGGTCAGGGCAGACCCGTACACCAGGTCATCTGCAAGAATTGCCATATCGAAGGAAAATAAGCTATTCGAGTCGAAGCCTTCACTTCGGATCTTGTCCCTCACATGGCGAATGAGTGGCTCTTGGTCGTGAACTAGTTTGACTAAACACCTCTTGCTTTTAGTAACGGTAGACTGGCGAGCTCAATCATGATAATACGTACGGAGGGTTTGGACTAGCTTGCGTGCACTCTCAGCTCGTTGCTCAGGGGGTCCTGCTAAAGCCAACGGGCTGTAGAGTTGCTTGTACGCAAGACCCTGAAACTCAGCATAAGCAATCCACTGATCCAGCACCATCTTCCACGCCACGTTTGGAATCTTGACGGTGTCGCTCATCCGCCTCGGCACAGTTATGTCACAGTCATTGATGATGGCTGCACGACCAAACCTGAGGGCAAGACCACGGTCAAGAATGTATGAGAACCAAAACAGGACCGTTTTAGATTCCTGCTCTGGTGTGGTTGGGGTACGAAGGCGGTGGTAACCAAGATTCATGCATATGCTGGCTGCCATTGTATTGAGATCACGGGCGATGCTATACTTGGATGTCTCGATGGAATAAAGACACTGTTCCAATGTGTTAGCCTCGAGACCCAAGAGACACGGGAATGAGAATGTAATGGCATGAGACGTACTCCAAGCAGCAAGAGCTCTACACTCTCCCTGTGGGCGGGAATTACCAGGGGCAGGTTGGTGAGTACCGTCTCGAGGTTATCCCTGAAGAGGTGTGAACACTCTGTCAGCTGGGCAGCACGGGGCCCCTCTGAAGATGCCGCTCGTTCTTGGAATAAGAAGTACAGTCCCGCATTGACGGTTCCCCAGAGAGTGAGGGCGTAGTCCTCGGTTGGGAAAAAGACTCGACGGCATCGCTCGTTGAAGTCCTCGACCGCAATGAAGGCGCAAATGGTTGGGAAGCTTGCCGGCGGAAAATCTGCTTGGGGTTAGTCAAGCGATAACACATGCACATGCACGTACCTTTGACCTCGCGGAGAACTTCCAAAACTATCTTGTACGACGGCATTGGCATATCACGGAGGACTCCATTTGGCAGTTTTTTGGCGTGAGAAAAGCGGGATTCATGAGGGCTCGGGCGGTGCTGCATGTCAACTATTTGCTTGAGAGATGACAGGGCAGACTGCATGTCGGGATGGAGGTCATGAAGGGATGTACGCGTGACCATATTCTCGAGGATCTCGCCTGCAAACTCGGTCTGGGCCCTCATGGAGGAATCACCAGCAAATTCCGAGTCTCCATCACTGTCATCGGGTGCAAATGCGGTCTCGGCCCCGTGATTAGCAGGGGAAGAACCTGCGTGGGCTGAGGTCAAGGTCCCGGCGACACTCTCTGCTCGAGCGGAGGGGCTCCGACTGCTGATGGACATGGTCAAGTTTTGCAGCATGCTCTCGATTTTACTCAGTCTCATATCCATCGAATCAATTTTCCTTTCGCTGTAAACCAGTCAGAAAAAATAAAAGTTTGTTAGGAATGAAGGTCCTCACTATTGATGTGAAATCAGTACTCTCTGGCGAGGCTCTTTGGGCCTCTGCCCCATTCCCGTCGAGCTGCATACTCGGTTTGCGTTCCTGCAGTTTGAGCAGGTTGGGGTTTCTCTACCACAGCGGATCTGTTTTGTTCGCAAAGGACAGGCAGGCTTCCTATCAGTTGTCCATTTACTTCAAAGTGATATCTTGTGATGCAGTCAGGTCAGAGCGCAAGAAAATACCTTTCTGGTTCGGCATTGATCACACTTTTGGGGATTATCATTAGCAAGGCTCTCAAAAATTGTATTTTGCTAATTCCACATTCCAGTGCTCACCGACGATTGTTGGGGGCAGGGACCAAAGTAAAGACAGACAGAGACGTACGTACAGCTCTCTTGATAGTGTCATTGTTCTGTGGCTCGGCGGCACCCAGCACCATCTCGGATTCGTCCATCTCCTCAGTGGGCACGGCCAGTTTTTCCTTGACAACGAGCCAAAAACAAACGCCACCACGTCAAGTCATAAAATACTATATGCAAATAGGGAAATAATGGGGTTTATCGGTTCACGCAGGTCGCAACTTTGGCAGCTTCTCGTTTCTCGTCCCGGTCTCACAGTTGCAGTGGGGGGGGAGGTGGGTTGTCTCACTGATGGAGACCGTGACCGACCGCTCCCCGCCGTCGCGGAAACCGGAGCCCCTGGGCTGTGCATCCAGTGAGTGGTCACTGCCTTTTTTGTCAAATGAGACCGGGACCTTGGCAAAAACGGCTTGGGGTGAGCGCTAATCCCGACGTGGAAACGAAGCGTTGATCCCTGTGCCGGTTGATAACTCCAAAATATTTCCGGGGAAGGACCACCACGGCATCCCGTCCTCTCAGTCAGTGGCGTTTGACTTTTTTCACAATGAATAATCGGACGCAAAAGACGCACAAGGGGGTGGGGGATGAATCAGAGGCGTCAAACTGGCGGGACAGAAGCTCCGCTCGACAAATCTCCTTCCGAGAATCTGAGACCGGGCTGAATCTCTTGGGGAGATACTTGCAGTAGTATGCGGCATCAAGCAGCAGCATCAGGCCCAGTACGGCAAATAAGGACTCAAAACAACTCATTGAGACCGGAGCGCGGGGGACCGGTGTTGTATGATGGCTCACATCACAGGCCAGATGAACCACCAGTCGGCAGTTTGCATGGAGGAGGGCGTTTGTGGTTGGTTCAATAGATGGTTCTCTTCCTGAATCACAACAGAAACGGCCGCTTAGTTAAGATATCATCGAGATGGTGCTGTCAAAGTTCGACAGTTAAAACGACGTCGACGACTCTCTTCCACGTGGCATCCCTTCTCTCTCTTCTCTTTTTCCTCTCAAGTCAAGCCAAAGGTTACACAACGCTCGTTACACGACATCAAACAATGAGAGTCCCGGTTCCCCCCGCGTGCCAAGCCGATATGGCCGGACACATGTCCTATGTTCAGATTTCTGAAGGCAATTCTAGTGGGACTCGGCCGGATTCCACAGTCCCGAGGCGCGACCCAGATGAACTCGAGGCCGAGCGCCGGAAACTCGCAGCTGGATCGTTGGATTCCCAGTATGCCCATCAGCGGTATATGGATTGGTTGCGGGAGCACAGGTATGTTCACCTCCGCCATCTTGGATCTTATGTCCTGACAGTAATATCACCAGACCCGACTATCTTCAGTCCCGGAATCAGGAAAATGCCCGCCGTGCCCTTCCTCAACCTCAACCTCAACCCCAACGTCAGGCCCTCCCGCCTGCAGAAATCCTTCACAGGAACATCTTCTGGGCCGCCAAACAAGGAGACGCCAACGCTGTGAAAGAGATCCTCTCTCGGGCCACCCCTTCGAACGTCTTCATCCACAGCCAGGGCGCTTTCAACGCCTTCTGGACGGCCTGCGCCCACGGCCACACAGGCGTCATCAGAATGATGGCCGAGGAAGCCGGACCGCACAGTTGCAGGTTCATAGCCGGCGCCGAGCTGCGCTGGGGCCGGAACCAGACCTCCCCACTTTGGATGGCGGTGCAAGGCAGGCACACGGAGGCGGTCAGGGAACTGCTATCCCGGGGTGCATCAGTTTACACGTGGGACCTGAACGGTCGGACGCCGCTCATGGTTGCCGCTGAGAATGGCGACGATGAGATTTGCCGAATGCTGTTGGAAAGGGAATCCGCGGTTGAGAAGAGCGATACGAGGACTGGAAGGACGGCGCTGAAGACGGCTACGGACGCGGGGAAGGAAGAGGTGGCAGGCATGTTGAGAGAGTACATTGGCACGTTCCGGAAGTGCGGCTGCTGCGACTGTCGGCACGTTTACTCGGAGATTGAGTTGGAAGAGGAAAAGGGGGAGGAGAGGCCGGTTTTATGCCGGGGTGGGTGTACTAATCGGTGCTGTGGCTGGGTCGGTAATGGAGAGGGAGAAGACGTTAAAGACAAGAAGGAGGAGAAAGAAAAAGAAGACGAAGTTGGGGCCGGCACTCCACGTCCTTGTTACACTTATATGTGCCCGCTGCAGATACTGGCTTGTGGAGGTCAGATGATGCCGGGCAGGTCTGGCGTTCCTCATGCTCAGGCTCAGGCTCAGGCTCAGGCTCAGGCTCAGGCTCAGGCTCAGGCTCAGGCTCAGGCTCAGGCTCAGGCTCAGGCTCAGGCTCAGGCTCAGGCTCCTCCTCCTCCTCCTCCTAAGCTGGAGTGCCAGTCACCGGCCGAAGGCCAAGCTTAAGATACCGGATCTACGAGTTGGATGTTATTTGTTAGGAAGAATAGTATTGATAGTACGGTTTTTCGGTTGACTTGAAGTTGTTTTCAAGTCTTTCTTTCTCTTTTAGCCTTTATATTTTATATTTCTTTTCTTTATTTGTTTAATAATGATAATGGGATTGCATTCTTAAGACTCGGAGATGAAGTCAAGAAGACTAAAAAATGATCCAAAAACATACAACACCAGGGATTCCCCAGTGGTCACCCACCTGGGTACTGATCTGGCCCTTTTCAAGGTTATCTATGGCAGAGCGGACGGGATGCCGAGTTTTCTTGAAGGTATGGTCGTATGTGATGTTTCAGAGGAAAAACTGCGATCTTTGTAAACGTGCGTCAGGAAGATATGAATATGTGTGATTGTGCTTGCGTTTGGATTTTCGTTATCTCCTGTCTCTCTCTCTATCTCTCTCTCATAGCCTCAAAATGAAAGTCAGTTTATGATTCACCCATGTTTAGATTTCGTGCTTATTTTCTTACCTTCAATCCCCTTCCCTTCCCTTCCCTTTCATTCCCTTTCATTCCCCTTCTATCAACCTATCCCATCTTTAAACACACAAAAATCTTCCAAAAAATGTTATCTACCTAGCTACCTAAGCATAACTAGTAAACATTTCCAAACAATCTCAACAAACAATAAACAAAAAAAGGCAACTTGGCCGAGCGGTCTAAGGCGCCACGTTAAGGTCCATCCTTGATATCAAACCTACTCCTACCCATAAATAGGTTCCGTGGTCCGAAAGGGCGTGAGTTCGAATCTCACAGTCATGATATCATGAATCACACAGTGCTCAAGTGTGATTGAAACTTTTTTTTGCGGAATTTCTTTTTCCGTCATTTGCATCCACACTAGTGTGCTAAGCAGGTTAAACCATGTTTTGACTTCTGTTTGGCAAGTTGCTGCCCTTGCGAGGAAAAGTATCATTATAAACAATGACTCGATGTAGTTAGAAATCTTTGAAAGGGTAGGTACAATGTACAATAGTCTATCTGACATAGTGTGAAATAAAGACAAAGAAAATAAGCTCAAGGTCCTCCTGGAAAGTATGGCTTCTCCGGCTTTTGCAGGGCCAAAAAATCATTAACCTCCTCTATCCCTTCGACATCACTTTCCCTGTGGCTGTCACCATCAGTATTGGTCGAACTAGTGACCTCTACCTTGATCGTCTTGGTGATACCGCCGGATAGGCCGATCTGATTGGACATATCCAAGGGTTCCATGCTGCTGGAAGATACCGGGGGAATTTCATTGTCTCGTCGTTTTCGGATCTGAGAGTTTCGGTGCCGGTCTTTCAGCTGAATTGTCGTCGCAGCTGGCTTGTTGTGGCCATCTTCGACTACAAGCTTCTGCCGGGGAAACAGGAGGTTACGCCAGCTCGCAAAGGAGCTCTCCGTCCATCCGTAGATGACTGCATCAACAAAACCTTGAAGTACTATGCATGCCTTGTCAATAGTTTGCAGTTGCCACGGGGCAGAATGACCAGTGACTGTCTGGTAAACGCGGATGGATGTTGGAAGGGTCCAGATGATGGCGTATGCAACGGGGTAGAGCAGCATCAATCGCGCAAGCTGAAATGGTCAGTCAATGTCTTGTCATGTAAGACATGGTATTGTACGTGACATACCTTCTTCAGCCGACGGTGCTGACCAGAGAGAGCTCTCGCATAATATCCATTTCCACTGCCAGTCCCACCAGTTGCATCGCCTGTAGATTCAGAGTCCCCGAATGACCTCCAATGTCGATGTGCTCGAAAGAGGAGATAGTAGAGTCGGGCGTATAGTAGCATCATCACAACGACGATGGCCCATCTCTGAACAAAGTTGACGTATAATCGAACGGCATCCGAAGTGAACCAGCACCATGCTCCAATATCTCCGTATCCAAGAACGAGCAAGCCAATCAGAGCCAGCAAGGATGACAGGACCCAAGGGAGCGCCCACAGAATAAGTAGATGGCCCTGTATCCATACCGAAGATCTCTTGTGGTCGGCGAGAATAAGGTAGGTGCAAATAGCAATCGTCAAGACCCAGTAGTCGGTTTGAATCACGAACAGCTGCGTCATGAAACCGTTGAAGCTGCAGAATTTGGCTTGCTCGGGCGCTCCAATCAAGCGTCCGCTCACATTGTGCGATGAAGACAAGAGGAAATTGAATGCCATGGCGAAATCGCTGACGGCCAATCCCATGATGAGCTGGTGTCTAAAGGTGCGGAGCTGGGGAAACACTGCGAAGCTCGCTCCGATCCATGCGGTGCCGATGATGGAAATGAGAGAGACGATCAAAATAACGACGCTCTGGGTGTAAATGGCATGTTGATCTGTCGGCGCGGCAAGCGCCTCCCGAGGGGATAGGTGTTGAAGATTCAAGTTGAAGAGCATGGTGAATGTGTCGTCATGATGGACATGGGCCCTCGTTTCTTCATTCTCGTGCGTTGAAGAATGCAAGGGAACCTTGATACGAATATACCCATCCTGAAGGATGATTTTTCTTTTCTTTTTTGCCGGGACGTCCTCAGGGGTCACGATAAAGGAAGGTTACAGAGGATTCGCGGCTGAGGAAGATATTTCATGGCGACGATAAGTTTAAGTGGTGGATTTGGGGTGTAGATATCCGCGGGGATCTAGATGCGGCCTCTCCCCAGTTCCTCAGCGTGGGGGGAGAGACGTGGGGATCGTTTTCCTCATATCTTTGAATTTTGGTTCTGATGATAAGCAGTCGTGCCTTCCCCTGTCTCACGGAGATGCTGATTTTCATCATCCCTGCAACCTGGAAGGGGCGGGCAGCCACACCTCAGGGCACCTGGACAGTCAGCGGGATGGAAATTGTTGGCTCAGATCTGAAAATTAGTGGCAACTTGCATCAAAATCACCAAAAGGTCAGAATTTATTAGTTACCTGCCAATGATTCCCTCTCAATCATCTCTACTATCTCGGGCCTCTCTTCCGCTGCCGTCAATCTCCAATATATATATCTGGCCATTTCATCCGACGTCGGCCTTCCCGTGAATCTGGTCAACACCACTTTCAACCTCGCTATCCCGAGTCTCTCGTGTTCCGGGGAGCCATGTGGCATCTCCAGCTCGGGCCAGTCATTGACCAACTCAATACAGTGGTCGACCAATTCCATCACATCTTCGTCTTGATCCCCGTTGCCGTTTTCCTCCCTTTCCTCAGACGCGGGTGTACCGGTATTTCTCAGAAACCACACGGTCGGTCGCCCTACAAGTCTGCATGACTCCCATTCCTCAACATCGTAGTACATGAAACCAGCGTCACGGATCAACGGATCATTAACACGGCCCCGTCGCCCAGTATGATATTCTTCCAACAGTTCTCCCCCCCACCATATCTCCACCGTCCCAAATCCACTATGGATGTCGATAACCACTCCGCAGACGTCTTTAGGCGACAGAAACACGTATTCACCGTTTCCAACTGTCTCTTCTGCATCCATCTCAATCTCATCGTTGCCCGTCACATCACGCACGTCTAAAGTTTTTCTTTGCGCCTCTAATCTCAGGCGTTGGACACGCTCCTCCCAGTGGCGGTCCCATTCAGGGCTGGCTTCGAGTTCCATCCTCTCTGGTGGAATATCAATGACTGATGAGCCTGAAGCGCCGCGAGAGGCTTCCGATGCGCGCATATTGCCGATATGCATGGAATGTCTTGGAAAGTTTTGAGACAAGAGAAGCCTTGGAGAGGGGTGCTGTTTTGTTTGAAAGTTCTGGGAGAGAAAACGCTTTGAGGGGAGTGTTTTGCAAGGTTTTGGGACGGGCGAAGCCCTTGAGGGGGGGCAGCTTGGCAGTATTTGTGCTTGAAAGAGTACATGAATGTGGGGTTATCCCGGAGTTCGACTTCAAGCTTGTCTTGTCCAGGCATTTTTGCACACTCTGACAGATGCAGGGATCCCCTTTCCAACGGTGAACATTCATCTCCCAAGCTCCAGCCGCCACTGCCTCTGAGAGGCCGAGACATTGCTCGATATCAAATTTTCGGGGAAGCGTCTAGGCCCACCGTGCTTGGAGCCGTGCACCAACTTCGCGGGGATCGGCCCGCTAGACGGATAGATGTCAGAAGCTTTGTGGCTTGCTGAGTTGTCAGACGTTTAATCTGACCCAATTACTATTGAGCATTGACTGACTGTACCTGATTCTAAACTCCTTTAAATCATACGATCATTGAACCAAGATGCTGAAATGCAATACATTTGATTGTTTACTCACTCGAGATGGAGGGTAGTTAGCCCTTCCCCTCCATGAAACGCGGTCTCAATTCATGTTCCCAAAGCAGCCTCTCGACTTCTTTTCGCCCAGTCTTGCCTTCCACAACCCTCACTGCGCATCCTCGCTCCTTGATGGCTGAACCACTGATTTCTGTCCCGTTAAAAATACCAAACCGGAGAATTGCGTGTTTCGCCAAGGCGCGTACACATGAAGCCTAAGCTTAACGGGATGAAATCGGCAACATCGCGGAACCCTCTCAGGGTTCCGTGTCTCATTTTAGTGCAACCTTTGCCCGGCCACTGTGGATAGCGATATCGTGGGGTTGAACGAACGCCAGGCTTGCTAACTTCGGTCACTTGCATAGCTGAGCGGCCCCAATGCGACACCCACCGGTCAATCACTAATCTCTGAATCAGAAACTGGATTGGTTGATGGAGAGTTCAACGGACACATGTCATGCAGAAAATTCACTCCACCATTACGCAAATGGATAACTGCAGAGGTTCTCTTTCCATAACTTATCGCTTGCATCATCCAGTTGTCCCGATTCCTTGCTCTCGAGTTCGGCACTGCATGTTTCGAGCTTCTGGAACTCATGATTGGACTGTGATTCTCGAGCGTGAGGAGCTTTCTACCCAGTCTTCCACGCACGAGCACAAACTTGGGACTCCTAGTCTCCAGGAAAGCCAATGAGCTTAGGGGGGCAGACGGTGATGACGGCGCATATGCCCGAAATAAATCGGAATCACCAGACCTCTCAGACACAGCAGACACTGGTTTCATCGCGGTCAACCAGTCAACTTGTTTGAGCTTATCAGGATAAAGAGGGGAAGGCATCGGCAGTTGCAGCCTTACTCGTTCTCTGAAGAAAAAAAATTTAGGTTGAGCTGCCTCTCCGACCCCTTCCGATCCTCTCCTGGTTGGTTCATTCTTTTCTTCTAGGGCTGTGACATTCGAGTGACCGAGCCCACCGCGGTAGAAGTAACCAATCTCATGGTGAAGCCGACAAAACCATGGCTCCCATCTCATTTGGGGGGGGGGGATGGAGACCTTGACATTTTGAGCAAGCCAGATTGGCAAATAGAACTCCTCAGTAACCAATGATGACACGAATAAAGTTTTTCGACGTCGAATTTAACTTTTGAAGCTATTTTAGCCTGGCGGGCCATCTTGGGACCCTAGTTCTCGGTCTGCGGGCCAAGCTTTATCCCCTTGAACGACTTGGTTACATTTGTAATTGCCGTTTCAACGGGCAGTCTCTCAACCGAACTAGCACCATAGAATCCGTGGACTCCTTTCGTCCGAGAAAGGACGTATTGTGCGTCCTCTGGACTCGCAATTGAACCGCCATGACACAGGACAATGATCTGGGGATTCACAGACACCACGACGTCTCTGATTTCCTGGATCAACTTGACGCTCTCGTCTAGGGTCTTTCCGGTGCTGGCTCCGATCGATCCGCTGGTGGTGAGTCCCATGTGAGCCACAATAATGTCGGCGCCTGCTGATGCCATCTTCTTTGCTTCTTCCGTGTTGAATACGTACGGCGTCGTC